AAGGATACTATCAGAAAGATCATTGATAAAAATGTGAATAGAAGCGGACTTAAATTGCACCCTTGTTTCACTCCACAAGATGGTGAGAATTAATTGGTGCAACCATGAGCAGTTTTAATAGCATATTTGGTTACTGAATACATGGATTTTATCAAGTTGAACACTTTTCCTGTAACTCCAGCCTTTAGTAATTTGTATAGCATACCTTCTCGCCAGACACTATCAAAAGCTTTGCGCAGATCTACAAAGCAAGCATATAGATGAGATTTACCTGCTTTGTTGATGTCACACGCAACGTAATATTACCGTAATTGGTATAGTACAGGTGTGATGGTTCAAATATCAAAATGGCAACAGTAACAGAAAGACTTCCCTGGCGGCGATGATAACATACGAACACGGAGCCAACAGATGAGGTTTCAACTGGTCTGGTATTAATATACTCTGCAATCATCAAGTACAATAACGCGGTAAAACTCCACTACTCCAATAACTAGATACTTAAACTCCAATACAATTCAACGAGATCTCAGATCTGAACTCAGTGCTGAACAACTACCCTATATATACCCCCACTGTCTATAAATAGACCATTACATCAGCATACATAATGAGTCTGGAACTTACTACACATTTCTAGAATGTTTCATTGCCTTCTATTGCCTTCTACAGTGTTCTATTACCTATTCAAACAGTTTCTAAAACTCTAGAATATTCCACCCAGATACAGTACGGTTCTAGAACATTCTCAGTGACACGGAAGTGGTAAAAAAGTCGTATGAGATAGTTGACATATTTATTTATCAGTGATTTTAAAATGAAAATACTATCTGTGGTACGATGATGTTTTCGAAAACCAAATTGTGTATTTTTAATATAGTTTTGATTATCCACAAATAGTTGTAATCTGTTATTAATTATAATATTCAGAACTTTTGATATAGAGTTTGAAAGTGCAATGCCTCTATAACTGTTGACATCTGTGATGTTTCCACTTTTTTATGTAATGGAACAAGGTAGCTAGTATTCCATTCAGTTGGAAACACACCATGTGATAGAATTTGGTTGAAAGGTCTCTTCAAGCAGGTTATTAATAAAGGGTTTGAAAACTTAAGCATCTCATTGATGATGGCATCAGGACCTGGTGATTTCACAGTTTTGATTTTCTTAAGAGCACTATTTATTTCTTGCTCACTGATGATCAGGATTAGTAATTAAAGTATTATCATGCTTCTTGATTGTTTCTTTTACCTCTTGATTAGTAGTTGAATTGTGATTAATATCATCTGAATTTATATTGAAAAAGGCAGAGAAATGTTTAATCCATTCTGTTGAGGAGACTGATGGTGTTTGTTGTTTATTGGAATTATTAACTTCTTTAATTTCATTAATTGCATTCCAGAAACATGCTGGATTATTGCCTTTCAAATTCATTAAATTGTTCAATAGTTTTTTTTTAAAGAATTTTTCTTTTGCTTAATAACCATTCTGTATTGTTTATTTAGCCTTTGGCGCTGCATTCTAAGACTGGGGTCAAATGGAAATTTGCTTACTTTCTTTGAAGTTTCTTTTAGGTTTCTTCTAATGAACCCCAAATCATTATCAAACCATTTTTGTTTTGATTTTGTTTTGATTTTTTTTAGTTGTATTTGATTTCCTATATTTGATTGTAATGGATTTTAGCGCCCTATGTTCTGAATGTCATTGTTCTCCACACAATTTATCGCCAACAAGTTTTTCATTTTTCTGGTTAACTCAGCAGAACTTAGTTGTGACATAAAATTAGATTTTGATGAGCTATCCCAAATATATTTTTTGTATGGGATCATTGAGATGTCTGAACTCTGATCATAATTATAATTAACATTAATGGCTAAAGACAAAGCACAATGATCTGATAAATGGGTTAAATTTTTAACTTTAAAATATTTAACTTGAGAATAAAATTCTTTTTGTACAATCAAATAATCAACCTGGCTGACACCATTATATTTATAGCATGTCACTTTTCCA